TTTTTTTTTTTTTTTTCTAGTTATTGTTAGCTTCGTTCTTCTGTGTTTGTGTTTAGATTATTGTCTTCTTCTCAAAGTCATTTTTTTAAAGGTTAAAGGAGATAAAATTAAAATGACCAGCTGTTTATTTGAAGATATCGCGCTTTGTGTTGTAGCAGTGTTACGGCGGTGTTAATAATTTGAACAAAATAATGCAGTGGTCTTACATAGGGCAGTACCCCATTATAGTGCTGGGCTCGCCGCACTTCACATAAAAATATTGGCAGAAAGAAACATTACATTAAAAATTTACAGCTTTATAAAACAGTTTGACCCCATAACTATCTACGTGTCAGGTCATGAACGGCACCGCTTCGCTTATCGGTCATGGGGGGGGGGGGGGGGGGTGTAGTCGCCCATATCAAAACCTGGGCTGCAGCTATAAATGACCATGAGCACGATGTTGGGGGTTCGCTTTGAAAAAAGAGAAGTTTGTACAAATTCATATTCGAAGAGAAAATAATTCAAATGCGTTGTGTGTCCTGATTTTTTTTTTTTTTTATGTTGCTGGCATCCGTCCGTCACATTGTGACGATGGTGTGGATTTCGCAGGACGAGTTCCACAAGGCCTGGGATTAATTGTTCTAGGATTATAAGCTGGTTCCCAACAGCAAATTGTCGCTCTCCACGCCGCTGGATAAGCCCAAGGGAACATCATGTGTATGATACAGCTTGGCACCAGTGGCGTCGCAGGAATTGTCGGAATGTTTCATTGTACCAATGTTATCCGCCTACGGGACTCCATCTCCGGGTTTGAATTCAGAGTTTCCTTCTCTTAGATGAGCTGCTATCCAAGGTTAATGGGTCACGTTGCTGGTGGTGTTTTGCCTGACTGGGCTCCGCTCAGTTTAGACCACTCGCCCACCTATCACCTGATTAGGTTCTACGAAACTGTATTGGTTTAGAAAAACTAAAAATTTTAAAATATTCGAAATTCAATAGGCGCAAACGCAAAACGAAAATGGAAATGCAATCCGCAATATATACTTAAGCATTTAAAATATGCATTGAGATTACAATTCTATGTCATCATTTTAAAATTTAATGTATAATTCACGTTCGATTATAACAATTTTTTTCCGCTCAACACGCTGACTGTGTGTAATCACAAGATACAGTCCTATATTAAGCGCAGAGATCTTACTGCGTTGATTCGTTAGTCAAAATCCCATTTTTTTAAAGAATACCTGCTTTAAAACATTAATGTTACATGTGTAGCTCAATGTGTTTATACCTTAAAAAAATATGACTGAGATCATTTGGCGGAAAAATTGTATCATGTTTGAGTAGCAAAAATTTTCATTTTATTATAGCGATCCTTGAATAATATTTAGAGGTATTAAATTATGTCCACACCGTAGCATGACTTTAAAATATCATTTTATATTTTGACTAGCAATCCATCGTGGAGCATTAAAAATGTAATTGATTGTTTTATAGTGATAGTTTTGTTATCAGTAGAATAATTTAATATCATCCATTTTAATTTTTTTTTTTTTTTTAAATTGTTGAAAGGTTCCATCGCAATAAATGTTTCACATCTAGAGTTTAGTTTTAAATGAAATTTCGTTTTGATTTAAATATCAATTTCAGGTTAAAATTTAATATTGCTTACTTACAAATTGGTCCCTTATTGATATGTAATAATTTCAGATAAAAATCAATAAAATGAGAACCGCTGGACTCCGTAAAAGGCCCGCTCCCGTTGTTTGCGATTGTTGTTGTTGTTTTGTTTTTTTTTGTTTCGTGATCGTTTCCACATGTATGATCCTTATTTTTGGTTATTTGCGTTTTTTGTTTGTTTCAGAGAGGAATTACTGTTATACCCAAATACATAAAGGTACAGGAAACAAACGGAACAATTATTCCATCTCTCCATGTCATCTGTGTTCAAGGGTCTTTCTGTGTTTCTCTTCTGCCTGTAACCGCTCACGCTCAACGACTCTGTGTGTAACACATATCCAGAACACCTCCCCCCCCCCCCCTTCCCAAATAATGACCTCACTTTCTGAACCCATTTGTTTTTCAAAATGATTTCATCATTTCGATTTGATCCCCAAAGAACGTTATGTGTGTATGTGTCTTACTCTCAGTGTGTGTTCAGTGTAGCGTATGTGAGAAAATAGGTTGTGTATGCTTCCAAATATGTGTCTATATTTATTACATATCCTACTCGTCCACCTGCAGTTGTTAATCCTTGTGTCACGTGTTAGCTAGTTCATATGTTTATACATATTTGTGCGTGTTAATGCATATACATATAATCGGACCGCATCAATAGTTCAAGCAGTTTGTATTCATTCCTCACACCACGTCATTTCGTGGTTTTAGTCTAGGAATTTACACCCTGTTGCCATACTCCTCACTGTTTCAGTGTTTGCTCAAGTGTTCACCTCTCCCAAAACTGTTTCAGTGTTTCCTCAAGTGTCCACCTCTCCCAAAACTGTTTTACTGTTTCCTCAAGTGTCCACCTCTCCCAAAACTGTTTCGCATCCTTGGTGCGCATCCAACCTTGGCGTTGCTAAATCTTATCAGCCGTTTTATTTTCAGTAAAGGTTTTTTTTTTTAAACCAACTCAGGGAAACCCCCATTCGTCTATTTAAACTTAGGGAAACCCCCATTCTCCTAGCTTTTAAAACAACTTAGGGAAACCCCCATTCATCTATTTCCAACAACTTAGGGAAACCCCCATTCATCCATAACAATCACTGGTAAGACTTTGAAGTTCGTGATTTTCTTCTTATTTTCTTATTCGATCTTTCCTCTCAATGCTCAATGAATTCTGTCCTACCCATTCCATAACCTATTTGGGTTTCTTTCTGCGCGTTTCCACAAAACTTCTCTTTTGTATTTTCTTTTCTTTTTTGGTTTGTTTTCTTTTGTTTATTTCTAATTTCGTTTGTTTTTTTGGAGATTTTAAGGTAGTTTTTTTTTCTTTAATTAGTTTTTAAATTTTTTTTTACAAATAATTAAGCCTTGAACCCACCGTTTCTTTCAAATGATGCTTAACCAAACTACTTAACCAAACTACTTAACCAAACTACTTAACCAAACTTCTTAACCAAACTACTTAACCAAACTACTTAACCAAACTACTTAACCAAACTACTTAACCAAACTACTCAACCAAACTACCTAACCAAACAAAGTCTGTGTTTTCAAACACTGTTATATTATTTTATCTTGTGCCATATATATTTAAAACACATTTATTATAACCTAGATATGTTATTTGTTTTAAAATCTAATAAATTTCTGTTCTCTTCAATTATACTACTCCACTGTTAAAAATGTATACCTTTTCTCTTTTTCTCGTTATAAGTATTGCATAAATATTCAATATTTCATTATGCACGCAAAAGTTATTTTATAAAACATCAATCATGTTGGTCGTCAGCCAAAAGTTTAGATATTAAGTTTTAAGACACGAGTGTACGAGGACTGTGTATATACTTTTTTCACCCCCCCCCCACCCCAATTATGTCACAAAATTTTAAAATTTACCCTGGTTTTTCATAATTTATTTTATGAACATAAAACAAGTGTAAAAAGGAATTGTTGTATTAGTTAATTATTACAATTTATTATCCAGTGAAAAAATATATATATATAAAAAAAATTAAAAATCTAGCAAGCCAGGTTAATTGCATAGGGTTGTATAGCACTTTGAGTTATCAGTCACATATACATTTATCCATGATATATATGCAGATAATATATCTATCCATGATATACTGGTAGATACATGTATACATGATATATTTGTAGATACATGTATCCGTGGACTACTTTTAGATACATGTATCCGTGATTTACTTTTCGATACATGCATCAGTGATATATACTTGTGGATACATGTATCCATGATATCCTTGTAGATACATGTATCATGGATATATTTGTGGATACATGTATCCGTGATATCCTTGTAGATACATGTATCCGGGATATACTTGTCTTGTCTCTCCTCCTAAATAATACTAGTTGTACTGTTCTTGAGAGATTATCTCAGAGCTGGAAACAAAATTAAACTTCTCATTTGTAAAAGGCTCACATCCCACCAACCCACTTCTATCCGCCCCCCCCCCTCCCCCTAAAATTCATATAGCAATACAACCCATTTAGAACCGTCTGGCACTGGTGCTATGACAGATCTCAATATTGAAAAGTTATCGATCTGATCTGATCTGATCCTATTCATTAGCTGTGTGCGTTTCGTCCAATGGTGCTAATTTTTTATAAGCCAGCAAAAGTTTTGGCAGTAGGGCCCCGTGATAAGGACAGATGTCCCAAGTAAGTTACAGGGGCGGATTACCCCAAAACACTGCTGACGCAATGAGCACTTCTTGTCTCTAACTGCAGGGCGGCAGCGTCATACGACTCTTCCACAAGGAGCTGGAGGCTTACCTGGTCGCCGAGGGGCTGTTTGACGATGATGTCACTGAAGACGGTAAGCCGGAAATACGTCGTTTTGCTCTTGTCGTGTGTCGTAGATATGTTTGGTTTATGTTGTGTGTCTTTGAGATGTTTTGTCGGTGTTGTGTGTCGTGGGGGTGTTTTGTTGATGTCGTGTGTCGTAGATATGTTTGGTTCACGCTGTGTGTCTTTGAGATGTTTTGTCGGTGTTGTGTGTCGTGGGGGTGTTTTGTTGATGTCGTGTGTCGTAGATATGTTTGGTTCACGCTGTGTGTCTTTGAGATGTTTTGTCGGTGTTGTGTGTCGTGGGGGTGTTTTGTCGACGTTTTGTGCCGTGTAGTTGCATTGTTGATGTTGTGTGTCATGGAGATGTTTTGTTGATGTCGTGTGTCGTAGAGATGTTTTGTTCATGTCGTGTGACGTAGAGATGTTCACGAACCTCTGTGCCCACGAATGCTGATGTCATCTCTATCCTCTAACGCAGTGGTTCTCAACCTTTCTAATGCCGCGACCCTTTAATACAGTTTCTCGTGTCGTGGCTACCCCCAGTCACACAAATATTTTCGTTGCTACTTCATAGCTGTAACGATATGTGTTTTCAGATGGTCTTAGGCGACCCCTGGAAAAGGGTCCCGCGACCCCTTTAGGTTGAGAACCGCTGCTCTAACGCAAAACGTCTTTACGCATTACCATCATAATGTGGCCTAGCATTTTAAATTTTACTGGATATTAACTTTACAATTTGATTTGTTTATAGGAGACTTTGTTTAAAGGAGATTTGTTCATACACTATTTGTTAATAGTATTTGGGACTTGAGTGGCATGTAGCTTATAAAGATTATATTGCGTGTTTGTGGCTTTATCTTCAAGCGTACTTTTTACCAAACAGACCAATTATAAGAGTGTTGGACTGCGAGAAAGCTTTCAATAGATTACTGAGACATCCCCACAAGACAACTACGTTCTTCCATTGACAGTAGAACCCTCTCAATCCCAAGAACTAAAACTAAGACCATCGGTGAACGCTCCTTCTGCTTCCATGGGCCCACGTTCTGGAACCAGCTCCCCTTCCATATACGTCATAGTGAAACCTCGTCCATTTTCAAAAAGTCCCTTAAAACTCACCTGTTTAGGTCCGCCTATGACCTGTGATGCACCCTCCTTGCCCTACCTAATTTTCTGTTTCGGTTTAATCCTGAAGTGTCAAAGTGTCCTCTTTTTATAGCCATTTTCATTGTTTCTATAGAATAGTAGTTACTATCCTAGTGTCTCATTTGTATTTACTTTGAACTAAAACTAAGACCATCGGTGAACGCTCCTTCTGCTTCCATGGGCCCACGTTCTGGAACCAGCTCCCCTTCCATATACGTCATAGTGAAACCTCGTCCATTTTCAAAAAGTCCCTTAAAACTCACCTGTTTAGGTCCGCCTATGACCTGTGATGCACCCTCCTTGCCCTACCTAATTTTCTGTTTCGGTTTAATCCTGAAGTGTCAAAGTGTCCTCTTTTTATAGCCATTTTCATTGTTTCTATAGAATAGTAGTTACTATCCTAGTGTCTCATTTGTATTTACTTAGTTTACATGTTTTAAAAATTGTAAAGCGCTTAGAGCTTTATGATAAGCGCTATATAAAAATGCCTAAATAAATAAATAAATAAATAAAACTATCTGCGTAAATAAAGCAGTGTAGTTAGATCAGCTTAAATAATGAACATCACAGAATGCACAACTTTACTTCCACTCACTTGGCGCTCTTCTTTACAATGCAAATTGTATATAAGCTAGGGTCCTAAATATTCACCAAAAAAAAAACTGCATTGCATATACTTTGAGATCCCCTACGATCATTTCTTGTTGTTGTCTAGTTGCATTGTCTATACTGTCTTCATCAGTTATTTTCTTCGCGACAGTTTTTCTTGAGTAACATTTTTTAGTCTCTCCAATCTGATACTATCAATCTTACTTCGTCCACTGTCATTCAATCTGATACTATCAATCTTACTTCGTCCACTGTCATTCAATCTGATATTATCAAACTTACTTCGTCCACTGTCATTCAATCTGATATTATCAATCTTACTTCGTCCACTGTCATTCAATCTGATACTATCAATCTTACTTCGTCCACTGTCAATCAATCTGATATTATCAATCTTACTTCGTCTACTGTCAATCAATCTGATATTATCAATCTTACTTCGTCCACTGTCAATCAATCTGATATTATCAATCTTACTTCGTCCACTGTCAATCAATCTGATATTATCAATCTTACTTCGTCCACTGTCAATCAATCTGATATTATCAATCTTACTTCGTCCACTGTCAATCAATCTGATATTATCAATCTTACTTCATCCACTGTCAATCAATCTGATATTATCAATCATAGTGAGTCCATTGTCAATCAATCTGATATTATCAATCTTACTTCGTCCACTGTCAATCAATCAGATATTATTATAAATCTTACTTAATAGTTTCGGATCTGTCGTAAATGGTCACGCTTTCCCCCCCTCCCTTTTTCCGTTCCACGGCAGTTGGTCGAAAATGCCGCCCTTCAATAAAAGGAAAAAAGCCCCCCCCCCTTTCCTTCCCACAGGAAAGGTGATGAAGATATGCCTACAAAGCCAAAGGTGTGACTGACCAGTTCTGAATTAAAACATGACTGACCAGTTCTGAATTAAAACATGACTGACCAGTTCTGAATTAAAACATGACTACCCAGTTCTGAATTAAAACATGACTGCCCAGTTCTGAATTAAAACATGACTACCCAGTTCTGAATTAAAACATGACTGACCAGTTCTGAATTAAAACATGACTACCCAGTTCTGAATTAAAACATGACTACCCAGTTCTGAATTAAAACATGACTACCCAGTTCTGAATTAAAACATGACTGCCCAGTTCTGAATTAAAACATGACTGCCCAGTTCTGAATTAAAACATGACTGCCCAGTTCTGAATTAAAACATGACTACCCAGTTCTGAATTAAAACATGACTGCCCAGTTCTGAATTAAAACATGACTACCCAGTTCTGAATTAAAACATGACTGCCCAGTTCTGAATTAAAACATGACTGCCCAGTTCTGAATTAAAACATGACTGCCCAGTTCTGAATTAAAACATGACTACCCAGTTCTGAATTAAAACATGACTGCCCAGTTCTGAATTAAAACATGACTACCCAGTTCTGAATTAAAACATGACTGCCCAGTTCTGAATTAAAACATGACTGCCCAGTTCTGAATTAAAACATGACTGACCAGTTCTGAATTAAAACTCGGCACTACACTGGACTGCTTATGTCCATACCGTTAGCCAGACCGTTAGCCAAACTCGGCCCTGGAATCCTTATACAGGCCCTATTCGCCAGACTTGGCCCCAGGGCTGCTTATACAGGCCCTATTAGCCAAACTTGGCCCTGGACTCCTTATACGGTCCCAAATAGCCAGACTTGACCCTGGACTGCTTATACAGGCTCTGTTAATCAAACTAGGCCCTGGACTGCTTATACAGGCCCCATTAGCCAGACTTGGCCCTGGACTCCTTATACTCCTCCTTGTATGCATGCTGTTAGCCAAACTTGGCCCTGGACTCCTCTTTTTCCTGGATATTAATTAAATTAGCAATGGGTCACAAATGGTGAGTTCCCATTGGGATTTCGCCAGTTATTCTCCCTCCTCGCGAGGCAGACACGCTAGATTCGAATTCCAGGTTCGACCGCACGTGTTTAAATTGTCACGCAAATGTGTGTCAGAGCCACTAATCCTCACACTTCCCATCAGTTCGTGTTTTTTTTTCTTCTTAAATTGAAACTGAAATTTATCATGTTTCTTGTATACTTCAAATTCAGTTTTATCAAGAACACTATGGCGTCGAGGCTAGTAGGAGGGTCTTGTGCAGGGATCTAACCACAAAATGGCGTCGAGGCTAATAAGGGGTCTTGTGCAGGGATACAAAATAGCATCGAGGCTAGTTGGGGGTCTTGTGCAGGGATGTAACCACGAAATGGGGTTGAGGCTAGAAAAGGGGGGGGGGTGTCTTCGTGTAAGGATTTAGCCACGATGTGGGCTTGATCCTTTTTAGGGGTTCTTTATTTCGGTAAAGGGTCCGAATGAGAGGCGTATCCCTAATGAAAGGGGGTTATGACCCCGACTGTTTACTTCTAAAGTTTTACAATATTACTCCAGTATTCCAAATCCTTTTGAAATGAACATCATGCTTTGAAGCCAGACGGCATGCTTATCTATGCAACCACTTGTTGTTGTAAGGCTTGGGGGGGGGGGGGGTAGGTTAGGCTGGAAGTGTGTTCTCATTAAATTTAAATAATTATGTTTGTTTTTTATAACTCAGAAGATTTTGTTCTTAAGGTTGTCATAAAAATATCTTAAAATTTAGACATGGAAATGTCTATAACGGATGTATAAAAAGTGCTAATAATTATTTTGTATTCATCTACCTCTTCTTACCTAAAAGGTGATTTGTTAAAACTAATTCTATTACTTACATATGACAAATGGCTCATGCAATCAGTCAACGTGGGTATATTGATTTTAAACTTCCTTTTCTTCTTCTTTTTTATTAAGTAGTGTCTCGAAGCTTTCCAGTGTTATTTAAAAGCCTAATGTGCAAAACAGTGTTAGCTTCACCTGAATTCACTGAAAATGCCCTCCGAGAATTTCACTAAAACACGCGTGTTCTAACCTGAGGGATAGAGAGTAGGGCGGAAACCAGTGTGATGGCGTTAGAGAGTAGATCAATTTGGATTTATGTTTTCAAAAGACGCTTGGCCGACCCGTACTCTTTAACTTAATGAAGGGGGAAAGTTTTTCGTTAAGAAAACGCTTCTTCTAACCCTACTCTCTATCTCAATATTAATATATGTCGTTAAGTCAAATATATCCAAACCGAACTCTCTAACTCAATGTGAACTTATGTCAAACCAAACATGTCCTAACCTTAACCTCCAAACCCAATCATTGGGATACCATTTTCAGCCGAAGATTGCCGGCCTCATTCGGGTCCCAGCCTTTCACCGCTGCCGGCCTAAACCCTTTCATTACTGTTTATCCGGCCTCATCATCATTTACAGCATGTGACGCATTACCGGATACCCCTGTGATCCGGACAAGGGAGGACCTATGCTCCCAGTTGTGCTTTAAAAAAAAAACAATAGCGTGGCTGTGGGGTGGGGGTGAGGGATTAATGACCCCTAATCTAGATAGTCCCCAGGATGTAGATATATGGATCGTAAATATACAACTTTTTTTTAATGATGTGAGCGATTAATCAAACAGAAGTTTTGAGTACAGGCATTCATACAAGGGCGCAAAACTAAACGGGAAAGAAATATATTAAAGTGTAAACATTATGTTTCAAACAGTTAATTTAAAAATTATTGCCGTTTAAAGGTCTTATTTAGCGAATGTATGATAATCGGTTATATTATTAGGGCATTCTATCGGGGGGGGACAAATGGAATTGGGTTTTGTAAAAAAAAAAAAAATTATAAAAAATAATAAAACGTTGAAGTTTTGGCAATTTTAAAAATAACATTCTATTAAATAAACTTGATATATTTTCTTTTTCAATTGTCCTTAAATGGTTCTTTTTTTAAAAAAATAGTCTTAGCAGTGGCTTAGCTAGGAGTGTGGGGGTAACCGGGTGCACCATCTCAGGGGGGATGTGACTATTTCCAGAGCACACACCGCTCAGTCCAAACGAATTTCATAAAAGGAAACACCATTTTGACCATTATTCAACGCCGATTGAAGTGTGCGGTAACTTTCATCAATGACAGGAAGCTATATATATATATATATATATATATATGTATCTAATTTTCTGAGAAATAAAGCTTTCCATTGGTACCAATGGGCGATTCTAATTTAATGTTACAGTTCTTAAATACATTTACCTCCTGACCTGCAACAGATTTGTTTTGTTTTTTTGTTCTTGTCATTGTTATACTGTGGACTTATTTTAACGAGAAGAAATCCATAACGGAAGTCTTCAGGGAGGTGACACTACATGCCGGACACCAGTTGCTTTATCTCTTACAGCCGTGTCCTGTACACACATTCGCTTACGTCTTTCTCATATAAATGTGATCCAAAAATAGACCCCAAACTTTAAGCTTGTTTTTTTTTTTCTCATCTATGAATTTCAGCGGAATTGGTCCAGGATGGTATGGCTTGCTTTGTTGACGTCACTTCCGTCTTCGTCTTAATTTGTTTTTTCTTCTTGATCTCCCTTGTTTGTGTTATGCAAGGTTGAGGTTACACGACCGTTTGGTCGTACACGTGTTTTGTACACAAAAATAAAACATTTCATTAAATAGTTTTAAAAGAATGAATTTTCATGTTGTCACTAATGCCATTTAGTCTTGCATTTGTTCTGAAATAATTTTTTTTTAATGTTTCATCATGTCAACTTTAAAAAAAAAAATAATTTAACTTCTTTCAAGCTATTCGCTGACAAATGTGTGTCATCATTTGGGTGGGTGCTTGCATATTTTTGCGTAAATTATTTCAAGTACTTTTTGTATTGTGATATTATGATAATGTTTTTTGCTTTCATTTTTTGGGGTGTTTGGTCTGATGTTTTTTCAAGAATGATGGAAGCAAACATAATTTGCACCACTTTGAAAAATGGTCACTTATCAATGTGTCAAGTCTAAACCTTTATAGTTGACCAGGACATCTATCTGGACATTTTTTCTTATTTCATCAAGGTGCTTGTTTGAATTTTTTATTTTTTTTTAATATTTTTTTTTTGCTTCTTTCATTGATTGGGTCTCAGGATGCAATATTATTATTATTTAAAAAAAGCTTTGTTATAGCTATCAAACAATTGATGATTTCGATTGCTTCTTTTAGCTCGATAAGTCAGTTTCAATAATCACTTTTCATTTGCCATTTTTTTTTTAAAATCCTTTATATCAAGTTCGCTTCCTGTCAACCTGTCGAGCTGAAACTTGGCGCATTGACAGCTAGGGTTTGTTGAATTGTTGTCCTTGGTAGCACCTTACTGCTATAACGGATAATCAAATTCATGAAATACCAATTTGAAATTATTTGAATACCATTAATTTTCCATCTCAACAAATAGGTTGGAATGTTTTTGTTTTTTTAATTCATCTTTTAAATGGGAGACTACTGGAATAATGGAAGACGGTCTTAGTTTAAATTTTAATTATAAAAAAGGGGCATTGGAATTAATAAAAATAGATTGAGTTATTTCCTCTTTTTCATTGGACACGTTGGTAATTTATTGAAACGCCTAGCATGTATTTGCATTGTATTACCATTTTTACAACTTAAAGTTTTCTGAATGAAATTTTTTTTTTTTTACTAATTGCATAAATATTTGGCTTAAATTTTTATCTCTTGTATTTTAGCCTGATATTTCTTTGTCTCAATTTCGTTATTCTGAACGTACGTCTCTCAAGATTGTTCTTCTGAATGTCTCCGTCTCAAGTTTGTTACTCTCAATGTTCGTGATTTAACTTTTGTTATTCTGAATGTCTTTGTCTAAAGTTTTGTTATTCTGAATGTACGTGTCTCAAGTTTGTAATTCTGAATGTCTTCGTCTCACGTTTGTCATTCAAAATTTCCTAGTTTCAAATTTGTTCTTCTGAAAAGATTTGTCTCAAGTGTGTTATTCTGAATGTCTTTTTTTTTCTTTTAAATTTGTTCTTCTGAATGTCTTTTTCAAGGAAAACAAATAAATAAAACCCGATTAAAAAAATGTGTAAAACAATAACTAAATGATAACCCTAAATCTTGCGTCAGCTATGGATATTTGTGATGCAATCCACTAATAAGTAATGCCATATCAGGACAACAACAACAAAATTGTTTTGCAATGTTAATCATGACATTAGGTGTACTAACCAGACCGTTGTGTTGTTCATACAAAGCGCCAGCATAAACCTTGTGTAGTGATCCCTTCCCCGTGTTTATCTTTCTTGTAGTTCCCTTCAGTTTCCGGGTCATGGGGCGACTGATTCCCCGTGTTTATCTTTCTTGTAGTTCACTTCCGTATCCGGGTCATGGACCAGCACAAGCCCCGTACACTGTCGCCACCCTCCTCGGGGAACACCTTCTGGCAGATCGAGGCTGAGACGAGCATCTTGTACGGTAAGCTTAATCTAATTGAAGGCGCTGGTGGTTTTTTTTGTTAATCAAGCCATCATATTATAATGTTTTTGGTGGGTCCATCGATGAAATTCAAGGAATCCCTGATTTAGATTATATATATATATATATATATTATTTACATACCATTGATATCAATTATTGTTTATAATGCAGTAGAAACATACATATGTATGCATTTATGTATATATGTGTGTGTATGTATATATATATATACTTTTTCCGTGAAAAATGTTAAAGTCAGCACTGCGATACGGTTTCATAACAAATAGTTTTAAAATAGAATACTTTCAAACGGTTTCTATCAGAATTAATCTGAGCATACATAAACATATATGTATATATATATGGATCAATTGTAATTTCTATGTTAGAGAGATTCATATAGCTGCTTAAGAATAATTTCTATTTTGTGGTGATATTAAATTGGTGTTGAGTTCTTCTTCACCGCGTGAATTTTCGTATGAGCACGTGATTTTGTGTACCTCTGTTCAAAACTCGGCCACATTTCAGGGGAGATCATTCGATGGGAGCAGCAGGTGAGATTACGCCACATGACCACCCGGAAGTACTTGTGCATAGACGCCAACCATGAGATATCCCTGACCGTGGACAATGAAGACCCAAAGACAGTCTTCAGGTTGCATTCAGTGCTCAGCGTAAGTCTCTTAGACCCAAAGACAGTCTTCAGGTTACATTCAGTGCTCAGCGTAAGTCTCTTAGACCCAAAGACAGTCTTCAGGTTGCATTCAGTGCTCAGCGTAAGTCTCTTAGACCCAAAGACAGTCTTCAGGTTGCATTCAGTGCTCAGCGTAAGTCTCTTGAAACTGTTGCGTTTGTTTTAGTTTTTTCAAGCTTGTTGGATAAAAATCAGGCTGTGACGGAATCATTGTTTTTGGTGATTTGTCGATGAGTATCTCGACACGATGAAATAACAAGAAATGTATTTGAGGTACGTTTATGAAGGTGTGTGTTTTAAATTAATTCGTAAAGAATTTTAAGGTTTCAGAACAAAAAACAAAAATGTAAAAAATAAAAAAATTTTAAAAAAAAAAGCCAACTAAGGTCCAAAGATCAGAGTTGTCATCATCACAAAGGCTCTCAGAAAATTATGGCCTTAGCTCTTCACTCAAAAAGAATATGTTTTGTTTATTTAGATTGACTTTATTGTTGAGTTGTATTAAGAATATAGAGTGCAGATATTGGCGGGTGTTCCATTTGAAAAGTATTGTAATGCCCCCCCCCCCTTTAACAAACAAACAAAAACAAAAAAACAACACATAAAAAAACGCATTTTGATTGTATTCTTTCTGGTCAACCTAACCCCTTTGATATATGGTAATGAACATCTTTTTATGAGACTCTACTCATTTGCCGAGGTCAACAAACTTGAGATCCACTGCAGGGATTCTGTCCATGAAACGTAAACAAAACAAATATCAAGTATATGAGCAATCCATTGATAACTTATCTTAAATCTCGCCAAACAGGAACGGGATGAGATCCACTTCGAGAGCTACGCCAGGATCGAACACGTCCTCACTGGGTTCTGGCTTCATGCCTTGAAAGGTAGGTGCTTATCATGCTGTCATCATCCTGTCATCACCCTGTCATCACCTTGTCATCACCCTGTCATCATCCTGTCACAATCCTGTCATCATCCTGTCATCAGCCTATAACCATCATGTCATCACCATGTCACCATCCTGTCATCACCTTGTCATCATCATGTGATCATCTTGTCATCACCCTGCCAAAAAAATGTGATTTGTCGTTGTTAAACTATTCTATTACTCTAGTCGGGCATCTCCTTTCCTGGCAACGTTTGCCGATGGTACGCTCCAACACGGTTTATCAGCGAACACCCAGGCACACCGAATATCGGAACACAAAAACTTAATGAGCGACTAGGGTTCTTCTTTATTACGTGTATCTGTCACGCAGATTCACTTGGTGACAGTATCTCCTTATAACAACACAGTCACGCAGATTCACTTGGTGACAGTATCTCCTTATAACAACACAGTCACACAGATTCACTTGGTGACAGTATCTCCTTATAACAACACAGTCACACAGATTCACTTGGTGACAGTATCTCCTTATAACAACACAGTCACGCAGATTCACTTGGTGACAGTATCTCCTTATAACAACACAGTCACGCAGATTCACTTGGTGACAGTATCTCCTTATAACAACACAGTCACAAAGAGTCACCTGGTTACAGTAACTCCTTAAAGCTCATAACTACACAGTCTTTTCAAAAACACAGGGGCTATCGGTCAAGAACGTCTCATGATTATGTTCTTCATCAACTGTCTCTCTCCCCACTCTCTCTCTCTCTTCCACTCTCTCTCTCTCTCTTCCACTCTCTCTATCGATTCCTGTCATCCAATGATCATTCAGACACAATAATAATACCCATGACACAACTCAATGACCCAAAAGCTTTCATACAGTGATTCTCATACCCGTGACCGTCATCACTCTGTCCTGACCATGTGAGCTTTCAGTTTTTTGTTGACTATGTCAATAAATTTGACGAAAGCTGCAGAAAAAAAAATTCGTTGTCCACTAAAACATAAGCATAAAGCAGTACTGACCATTGGGTTTATTTTATTTAATAAGAACATTAAAATCCTTGATTAGTTGGACTGAGGCTTAGACGATTGTAGAACCTATTTCTGGTAAGAATGGTAACCCGTGGTCAAATTTGATCTGATCAAAGAAATATCTTAATGTTTGGTTCCGAAATCTTTCGTAGATTACACAGTTCCTGCAAGTAGCAGGCACAAATTAACAGCCCAAGTTGGACGAGATTGTACTGTAATGATTTATGTATTTTCCCCATTGGTATTTGGGCTTTTATGGAATGTGCGCCATTTCGGTATGGCTTATTTTCGGTTAACTTATCTCCAAGGATAAAATCATTTCTATTTATTGCGAGGTTGTTTCTTCTGCAGATAACTTACAATTCGTTTCTGTCATCTCCTACCACTAGACTCCAGACAATTATATCATAACACAGTGTCAGAGTCCATCTGATTTGAGTTAGAATTAAAGCTGTAGGAATCGTGAATCTCTCGGTGACTCACGCAGACACACACAGACACACGAAGACACACACAGACACACGCAGCGAATATATATGCAAGAGATCATCTTATAGTACTTTACTTTCCTACTCAGATGAAGACTACATACGAAAACAGTTCAGGGCCGTAGAGGAAAACCAGGAGCATAGCATGAGGGGGCTGAGGTGGGACACGGCCAATGTCCGGCAGGTGAGACTTACTTTGGTGTGCCGCTGATTTGTGTTTTGTCAGCATGACATCAGTTTTGTTTGTTTTTGTCGTTTTTTTTTTATTGTGCGCACCTCTGGTGAGCATTCAGAGTGTTTGTGAAGAAAACTTTGTTTCCGCGTAGGTTAAGTCCAAGTGACGTATGCAATCGTAAAGGCAGACTTATTCAGGGTGATAAGGGCCGCATGAGGGTCAATTTCGATGACCTTATTACACCCTGAGAGGGCCGCATTAGGTCAATTTCGATGACCTTATTACACCCTGAGAGGGCCGCATTAGGTCAATTTCGATGACCTTATTACACCCTGAGAGGGCCGCATTAGGTCAATTTCGAAGACCTTATTACCTCTTGAGAAAATAAAATTATTTCTTGAATGATCGAATAAAAACTATTTCGTGGGTCAAAGGTTGCAACATATATGCTACACAAATCTTTAGTGTTTTCGGTTATTTATAGTTTCTTACCAGTCACACTGCAGGCGGCCGTGGGTTGTAGACCCTAGTGTGTTTTTTCTGTTGTTTTTTTTTTGTTGTTGTTTTTTTATTTATTTCAATGAAAATGTTGTCTGGCATGATGAATATTGACCGTAGCTTCGTGTGGTAGAACTCTTGCTGAATCTCCGCGTAATTTATTTACAAGTCGTAAGAGATCAAGCAGTTACCACAGAGTGATGTTGGATTTGTAAATGCGTGTGTGTCTCCGCTCTAAAAATAGGGCGTCTTGTCACAAAGCTATCGGGCGGCTAAAAGAACGCACAGCCATAGGGGCAAATATGGGCGCTAAAGCATGGCCAGGTCAGCTTTTCATCACGTGACCCCCCCCCCCAGACAGCCCCTAAAAAACCACGATGTCGGGGCCTACAACCGCGGTGCCGACGGTGCAATCAAACGATTACTTCCACTTAATGTGTCTAGAAAAAGTCAATAGATTTGGGTATACGAGTCTACAAGCTTAGCTTAGAGGGAGATGTCGGTGTTCTCGGTAGAGGGCCCATGTGAACGACTTCTTCCTCTCGACTGCACACGCCATGAAAGGTCAAGGCCATCCAGTGTTGGATTGGGAAGGCCATCCAGTGTTGGATTGGGAAGGCCATCGCGGCCAGTGTGTTGGAGGCGTCTGTCGGGTTTATGGCCTTCAGATGGGTACGAGACATCAAAAATGGAATCTTAGTCTGAGATATTTATTTTATGGAAAGGGTTTTCCCTTTTTGTTCATCTTTATGTCATGGCCTTTATCAGCTTTTATCTCATGCCCCAACCAAGAACTGTAACATGTTTAATACCACCACATGTACTGTAACAACTTGACTACTACCACATGTACTGTAACAACTTGACTACTATCACATATACTGACATGTTGAATTCTATCCCATTTACTGTAACAAGTGTACATCAAACTCAACATATGGAAACTGTATATGAGATTAGCGACGAACTGATGCATTTATTCCGGAGTCACGTGATCACAAGTCAACCAGTTATCGCCAGCGTAAAATCCGGCCTATTTCAAATAGCCGCATGTGTGTCAATGTGTTTGTGTGTCTGTGTGCCTTTGCGTCAATGTGACTGTGCGTCAATGTGCCTGAGTGTCTATGTCCCTGTGTGTCAATGTGTCTAATGTGTCAATGTGTACGTGTCTCAATGTGCCTGTGTCAATGTCCCCGTACGTCAATG